CCAGCTCTCTTGGACCCCTCTTCCTTAGGATTAAGTTTTTTAATACAACTATACAGTTTTTCTGCAGTCTTGGCCTCAGCCAGCAAACAAGAAGGATCTGCTATAAAGATGAATCAGTGTTGTGTAATAAGAGGCATCTGACAACAGGAACCCTGCTTCATTTGATGCAAAGGCTGAAAGGGACTGAGAAAAAGGCCATACGGTCCAGGCAATGAAATCCTGTCTCAGGAAACTGGATTTTATCTTTGTCTTTCAACAAAGGTTGAGCAACATGAAGCATGGCATTCAAATCTTTTTTTGCTTTTAAACTCGTAGACAAAAACTCTTCCTTTTCCAGCCATCCACCCTAAAACTTACTTAGAATACATCTAACAGAAATCGTGAAAGTATGTATCAGCAACTGAGGGCAATGAAACTATAACTTGAACACAATATTACATAGCTCTTCAAGTACTCTGAAAAAAAAATAGATCCTAGGCATCTCAACTTTGGCAAGCAATACTAGTGGAAATTCTTCTATTTTTATATATTTTTCCTTTATTATCTAGCATTCTGTGAAAGGCATTTCAAGCACTGTGAGTACCAGGGAAAAGCTTGAGAAGTGACCATCTTCGTAGCTGGCTCTAAATACACAGAAGCATATATGGCTTATGCTGATCACGATAACACAGTGAAGTATTCACTAAGAACATGCTAAGCTATCACAGCATGCAGGACAGAGCAAGGCAGTGATCTCACAATAAGAGACAAAAAAAATCATATTATTAAAACCACAATAATACTTGTCTGCAAGAGATAATATGGCTTTTACATTATATTTCAGAATAGAATATTTCACCGTAAAAATAGCAGCATTCTAAGTTTTGGGTTTTTTTTCCGAACACAAAGACACTCAAATTAAAACCTCCTACATTGTGCTTACCCACACAGGCATTCACCAAATCCCAAATGATAATTAACATATTGAGTTTTATAATGACACAGTACCATCACCTCAACTTACGCAGAAGGTAGTGTGGTTGAAGAACACTTAAACAACTTCTCCAAAGAACAAATCAAAAATTCTAAGTTGTGTTACAGCTTGAGCTGATTTAAAAGCCTGTTGTTGCCAAAAAGGAAAGGAACAGTTTATTCTTATTCAAATCTGACACCTGCCATGTCCTTCACTGAGCAACCTCAACTCATCATCCTGGCAAAAAAGCACTTCCGGCTTCTCCATGATTTTGACATTTTGATACTATTCGTGCTGGTATTCAGTCACGAGTGCAGCTGATGCAAGGCTGATACAAATGAAAAATGGGAGAGGGAAGGGAATAGGGGGTGAGAAACATTCCTCTCCTGACCAAAGCAAACTGTTACATCAACTCAAGCCATGTTATGCAACTTTGCAATCAAACCCCACAGAAAAATCTGGCAGCAACTCTCATGTCTCCTGGAATAAGAGATACATGTGATATGTTTCAAGACTGGGTAAGAAAACAAGTTACAAAACCAAACTTCAAATTTAATTTGAAGTTGTATCTGGGACACAGATGACCAATTTGTATAAGACTGGGGGGGGGAGGAGTATTTTGAACAGCCTGCTCTGAGCACACAGCTCACTTGCCTTGCCCTTCTTAATTTGCCACCCATCCAACTATAATGAAGAATATCAACTGGACCTAACATAACCACAGACAGAGATAACAGCAGATAACATAGATTGTATAGGTCTTTGCAGGAGACCAGTGCAGCTTCAAAAGGTAAAAATAAGACAGACAAGAAATAGCTAAAATAAAAAGAGAAAACCTCACTCTTCTCTGCTGCCCTCATCCTCCTCTACTGTCATTTCTCAAGACCTGAGCTTTTACCCTTACTGATGAAGTTGCTTCTTGCATGCTTTGCTATACAACTTATAAAACTTCTATAAGTTCATAAAACTTTGTCTCAAGCAACTGGTGATAACGTTACAATATCAACGTGTTCTTCCTCAACAATTAGTCACAAAATAAACGTTTTATGACAGACCAAGAGGAGTTCAGGGACAACTCTCTCAGGTTGCACAATTAATTGCTCGGGGTTCTTCCTTATATACTTCAGCTAAGGAAGGCTGACGAAACGACAGCAGCCTCCACGGTGTCCCAGGAGCAGGGGGAAAAAAAAAAAAAACAATTTGCAAGGGCGGGTCACCTTCCCATGCTTGAAAACGGCCCGTCCTGGTGTTCAGGGATCCAGCTTCGCGCAGCCGGCGCTGAGCCGCTCCCCCGGCCCCGAGCCCCGCTGCGCTGTAGGGCACCGCACCCCCCCGCGGCTTCTCCATCAGTACAGCTTGCTGCGTGCTCTTGCTTGCCACCGATAACTGACAGAACACTTAAAATTAAAACAAACAAACAAACAAACAAATGCTTATCTTCTCCTTTAAAGACCTTACTTCTTCAATTGTTGCAAAGTTTTAATGCAGAGTTCCCGCTTGTAGGGGCTATCATTCCTTCCTTTTCCTAATATTGGCAGCAAAGCTACACATCACCCATGAAAATTCAGTTCCTTAATTATAAAGTTGGCTCGTTATGATAAAATAAGCAAGGCTTTACTACTGGTATTGGACAGCTTAAGGAGAGATTGGGTAATTTATTTCACTAAAGAGTTGCTAGGTTTTGCTTTACAGACATTTTTAGTACTAGGGTTTTTTTGTTTGTTTGTGTTACATAAAAGCATGAAAGCTGAGGCTTGAAGAGAAAGGCCACTAATTTAAGCGCCTAAATGTTTATTTAGGTGCTCTTAACTTTTCAAGAGCCAGACTATCTCTTCAAGCACCCAAATGCAGACTCCCTAGTATGATTATGGAAAATACAAACTAATTTTCATAACAACACACTGCCTAATATTCACAGACATAATGGTTAAAATTACAGGTGCGTGTAAAATTGGGGAAAATGGATAACTCTGCCTTGAACTCAAACAACAGATGCTTGATTGCAGGGAAAGGAGAACAACATAGAGAGGAGTTGCCTTGCAGAACAAATGTGAAGAAATCCATAGGTCACAACACCTTACATGGGAGATCAACTCTCCTGCCTGTTTCAGAGCTCAAGGATCACCAGTCTTCATCCACAAAACTGAAAAGCCCAAGCAAGTAACACAGAATTTCCTTTCTTTTCTTCACGAAGCTTGCGGAGACCATTTGCAGTGACCGCCAGGGTCGACCCCCGCCCTAAAAGTGTGAGGAAAAGTGTGAGTCGTGTTGCTGGGCTCCGTGCTCTTCCCAGGTTTGATCTTGTTTTATGAATAAATCTGCGCTGTCCCTTGGCCGGTTGCCCGGAGCCCGGGTTTGGTTTTAGCGCCCTGAGGAACGCAGTGGGGTGGCGATGCGGCCTCCTCAGCTGCAAAGCTACGGAAATGTCATCCACTGTAATTGCGTTCAGGCTTCATTTTGTCCTCTTGAAAGTGGTAGGCAGTGGCAGACGTCTTTACTTAAGGGCAAGAGTTTGCGTGACCTTATCAAATCAGGAGTTAACCTCTCAAATTCTGAAAATGCCAGCTTTTGCAAGCTGTGTGGCAATCCTGAACAAATGACGGCTTCTGGCATCTGTCTCTGCACTCTGCAGAACGTGGCAGAGATCTCAAACAATTGCTTTTTATGAGCCAGGGTCTGAAGAAGGCTGGGTTTGCCTTTGGTGTTTGTCACACCGGTGCTATGAAGTCTAGGTTCGCTGCCACTGCAGTCACAAGTCTCAGCGTTTCAGTGATCCAGTGCTCATCTGTCATCAGTCTAGCGCAGGGCTTTCTTGAATCTCAGCGTCACAGTGAGCGCCCTGGATTGCATTGTTGCTACTTGGATAAGGGGTGTGCACAGGAAAAAGCAAACAAACAAAACCAGATGCCCTGGCAGAGAGCTACAACACATACAGGTTCAGTGCGTGCATGCCTAAAAGCTCTGACAGATCTGGGACACGTATGAGTAAGACCAGCCAGGCTGGTTACAAACCAGCCAGGTGGCATCTCTAAATGGTAGGGACAGTCCTGTGTTTAGCAACTTCCTTCGTTCTGTAACCCCTGCATGCTTTTAAGTGTGCTGTTCCCTACGTCCGGACTGTGACTGCTTTGTTCACCAATTCTCTTCCACAGAGTAATTATGGGTAAAGTACTAGTGGAATGGGGAGAGGGAGAAACCAGAGAAGCAACTGAATGAAACCTGGTAAAAGGGAAGGGTTATACTAGAAATAACTTCAGTAGCGGAACTGTGACAAAACACAGAATGTTTAAGCCCCTTAACAATTTAAGCTTCCAGGAAAATAGTCTGGGAAGAAAAAGTGGAGACGAAGTCAAAAGGTATAAAGAGAAGGAAAAAGTAATTGCACACTTTTCTGTATTTTATACAGTATTGTTTTGGAGGCAACAGCCTACTTCTGGCTGCTGTTTTTTGCTTGCAGGCCTGCTGCCTTTCACTGGCATGCCCAACACCATGCTTATTGCGTTTGGGAAAAGCTTGGCTATAGCAGCCAGAATCAGACTGTTCCCCCTGCCAGTATCATTTATTTGGCATATCTGTCTCCAGGGAATGAGGACAGCTGGGAATGGGCTTCATGAATCATTCTAGTAGGAGCAGCTGTCCTTTTTCCTGGTTAGCAAACAAGAACATTGCTAGAAAGTGTTAGAGCCACAGTAAATCCAGTGCTTAAAGGAGACATTCTACCTTTCAGTCATGCATCAATCAACTATATTTCGCAAATCAAGTATTTCACACAGAAGTAGTCAAAATGATTGTGCGAATGAGGAGGACAGAGCATACAGGCCTCCTGCTGCCAGAACAAATCGTGGCCACCGCTAAGCAAATCCGTTATGCTTTTCTTTCTAGGAGAAACTTAAAAGGTATGTAGGGTGAGCTCGGTCTAATACAAAACTTCAGAGCTGTTCAGCCCAGGCTCACTATCAGAAGAGATTCACTAGGGGTGCTAAGAAAGATGTCACAACATCCATGACATTAGCACTGCCTGATGCAATACCTGATCTGTATTACTTAAGGGGTGATGCAATATCCTTTTAGTAACAGTCTACGAACCATTTATTGGCTGTACTCTTGGCACGACTTCATTCCTCTTAGGATAAAGACAAATTACACTATTATCTGAGCTTACAGAGTTGCATTTTTGTAACTCTATGTACTGGATCAAATACCTTCTCTGTAATGTTGCTATACTGCATAAGTAAATTAGTTTAATTATAAGTATACCATCTTGGGACAGGATGGATCTAATGATCGATATCACCACACTTCCCAAAGACTCATTACATTGTGAGTCATTGCCAGAAGGGCACAAGCTCATGAATCTGAAATACGGTTTGGGATTTGTCTTAAGGAATATGTCAAAAATACTGGATGATCGTAACTGAAATTACAAAAGCCTATGTAATAATGGTCTTGTAAATGACAAAGTAGCAGGTTGAGAGTGCATCTCTCTAATCGTGTTCTGTAACCTTATCGAGGGTATGGAAACAGGTAGATTCAAGTCAGAAAACTGACAAGAGTTACTATCCCTAACTGCCCATTCTCCATCCTCTCACAAAAGCTGTTTTCCCTCAAAGGGCTGAACTTTCCATAGGATCTCTTCTTTAGTACATCCTAGGCTGAAATTTTAAGATGATATGAAGTTAGTGTTGTCTAGTTTTCGCCTACCCATGCTTGTAAGTCATTCTTAAGTACAATTCACTTCTGATCACCATCTGGAAAGAGACGCTTTCCGAAGGGTTTTCACAACATTTCTGACCATACTGCAATAATTTTATTAGAGAGCACTGACCTCTGTAATGTTTATGCAGTTTAGATTGCGTCCTGAATATTCTTTTTTACCAGGGACTTCAAGCAGAATCCTAAGAATTGTGACCCTCTCAGTGAGAAATGGCAGTAAAGGGGTCCAAATCAAAAAAGGTTTTTGGATGTGGAATATCTTCACGTACGTAGTCCCAATTATTACGGAAACAGTTCAGATTTGTAAAGCTGGGCACAGGCAGGAGGACGACCTTCACAGGCAGCATGTCCTAGCCTTGAGAGTCAAGAATCAGTCCACTGGACACTTATTATGAAATACAGTTTACGCCTGCTGTGTATAGGAAGCATGGAACGGGACTGCAGAAAAGGAGTAGGCTGAAGAACTTGCAGACAGCCAAAACCAGTACAATTTTAAATCATCCTTTTACTGTGTTTTTCTGCATAGAGGAGTTACTTTAGGTTATATGCGGACCTGTTCTCTTCCCTTTGTTGTATCAGCTAAAACAAGTACTATAGAAACAGTTCCTACAAATTGATTTTATACAGATGCCAAAGGCTATCTTCAGTTATTGAGCCATACCTTTTCTTCTTTGTGTTATACTTCAACAGCAGACTCCAATGTGTAGCATAGTTATTGGGCATGACACTAACATGTATCCTAGGTTCCCTGGCAGACTGGAAGCCAAGGTGGAGGAGTTGTGGGATTGTTCTTGGTTGACTTCTAAACCAAAAGGGCTGCACCATATATGTAAGTTCCCAATGTGTTACATATAAGGGAAAACCTATGATGTGAGCAAAAACAGAGTTCATGCTAGGCTGCCGAAAGTAAGCATTGCACAAGATAGAAGATCACTGAAAGTGGACTATGAACTCGAAAGTTGTCCTTGGAGGCCAGATCCAAATCACAGTCCACAGCTTAAGCAAACCTGTAAGCAGCAGAAGCTGGAAATTATGGTCTTAAAGAAGCTATTGTAATATTGCCAGTGAGAAATATTGTATAATTCTATTAAAAATAATTTTCCATTTATCAAAAACATATGCCTAGCCTTTACAATGCAGAATTTTTAACACAATAATTGTTGTAAGGGATGGACAAAATCATTACTTTTAGGCTTTTGATATGGGGAGCAAATTTAAATAAAAACTAGTTTTCATATGGGAGGCTTTGAAACTAAAAGACTTTTTATCTAAATCAAACTGAAAGAATTTTGGCTCCAGTTTTGTGGGATAAAACGCTGCAATGCATGCCCATTTGAGAAAGGTTTTCTTCTTTTTACGTCACCTTGTAGAGCTACAGTTACTTCTTGGCATCTGGGAGAAAATCTTTGTTCATTGTTCCTGATAATTAATCTTATTTTTAATAATAAAAATACGTATTTCATTTTGCCACCAATTTATTTTAATAGAGGAAGTTTCTGAATAACATCTATCCTTGTTTTACAGGAGTGTGAATAAGAGGGCATTTAAAGCATATTAGTAGATGCAATTTGTAACCTATTAACATTTTAGGAAGAGGGACAAAATGTACCTCAACCTTTTTTTTTAATTATAGATGCAGACTATGGATGTATTTTCCAGAGATTCTTCTAATTTCGAGGTAAAAGAATGCGTCTTAAAAGTTACAACAGTATTTTACAATTTTTAAAGTTTACTTTGATTCTGTTCTATAAAGAAGGTTGGTTCTTTCCCATATACTGTAGATCCTATTCCTGTATTTTTAAAAATGTAGAAAGCAACAATGTTTCAAAATCTTTGCCTAAAGTCTACTTCCTTAAACTACATACTCCAAGTCAGGAAGAAGTCTAGTGCTTCATGAGGTAGAGAATGCAACTTCTAGTACTGTTTTATTCACTAAAGAGCCCTTACAGTTGATTTAGATTAAAAACATTCATCAAAATGCTTCTGTTGGTTTGTCTTAGATGACCTGTGTTCTCTTTTGATTCATTTCTGAGGAACAATCAGTCTTCTCCCTAAAGCCGAGGCAAATATAAACAGAAATACATAAACGTAAAACAAAAAATTCCTTCAAAAATAACTTATTTCTCAATAGGCAGGAGGGAACAAACTACCTTTCCCCTTTCCAATAGCTTTTATTATTTTGTTAGAGTAAAAGCTATGTATAAGCCCACACCTTGTATACAAATGCCCTATTAAATAGAAGGAGTTTTTTGTCTGGAACCATACATATGAGTTGATTCACATTTTTGTATATATATGAAACTAACGGTGGAAAGTCACAAAGTGTTTTAGAGAAAACAGAGGCATGTTCAGTCTTCTCTGTAGTCGTCCTGTCTGTGATGATGCCTTCAGTTAGGGACGGTGTTTGCAGACACAGAGAGCATCTGATCTCTGCAGGTGGAGAAAAACCTAGGAGGCAGGTGATTTCTGTAAGTTATCCCAGGGCAGAGCAGTGAAAATGAAAATGTCTGCTTACTGTCGTTTAGGAAAACATTTTTGCTGTTAAAGCCTAAGAAAACCTGGATAGCCTTAAGATACCCTTCTACATGCCTAACTTGCAAGAATCAAATAATTGCACAAAACAATACGCATATGTACATAAACATATGGGGCTATAAAACATGTTCAGGCAGGAGTAGTAGTAGTGTAAGATTTTGCTAGCACCTGTCTGAGCTCTGCTGTTGAGGATATAATGTAAGTAGGGTGGGGAGCACAATATGTTTTGCTACTGTGTTGAGAATGGAATGGAGTCCAGACACAAGATAATTATTGTTGTTGTGTTTCTAGTGACTAGTTTAGTTAAAGCAGAGAAGGAAGCGGGAGGAGCAGAAATTATTAGTTGCATGTACACACAACAAGGGATCATTGTGCTTTTCCTGCAATTGAAATACAGGCAACAGAGTTGTAAAAATAATTATTTGTATTTACTTGTTTGTTTACTTACTTATTTTCCTTTATTTATATTTTGACCATCATTTTGATGGCTAGGAACAAATGAATGTAATTAAAAGAGAAGACATTTTCAACGGTTGGTGAGACTGTACTTGTCTCTTGCTCTTGCCATCCCAGTTGAACAGAGCAATATTCCTTTCTTGAAACTCAACTGATCTGTGTGCTGTATGACAGTAAGTATCTCTGACCTCCATATAAATGTTCTAATTTATTTCTGAAGTCTCCCAATGGGAGGGACAGTCCATAGCATACTGCTATTATAAGCTGACTTTCAGGATCTGCTTTTTAACAGCATTCTGTGTGAGGCCTATATAATTTGCTTGTAGTTCACAGCAGGAAAAAAGTTTTTATACTAGACAAACCTAAAATATTTTTACATTTTATAATGTGGCTGTTTTCTGTACTCGTCGCCCTTTGGGAAGGTGCTCAGCTTTACTGTTTCTTTCCACAACCTGTCCCTCCCTCATCAGAGCCCAAGGCTGTGGAGAGCTGTTGTGTAGCTGTTAAAAGAAGTGTCAGGCAGAAGGTGCGTGCACGTGTGTGTCTGTGTGACTTGGGAAGGGAGATCTATAAATGAGGAGGAGTCTTGAGGCCACACACAGACATGGGTTTTAATAATTAGGGTACCTGATGAAGGGGAGCTACCAAGGCATCGCATGCCTGTGCAGTTGCATTCCACATTGCCTATAGTAACTGGCAAAGCCCAGTGTGACGTAATGTATGAGACTCCACGCGAACAGATCTGTTCTTTCATCTATGTCTAAAAAGGAGTGTGACTGAAATAAAAACGCCGTGTGTATTCCAGCTCTGGCACAAGCAGGCGACCGTGCTGCAGCGCTGACCTGATAGTTCTGAACAGAGACAGAGCATCCAGTGTAAGTTCCCAAACGCGTGTACAGTGGTTACTTTACTAATGGACTTACTACTGCAGTCTGTCGGAGCCTAGCATGGCCACTGGCTTCTGGATCAGGATGTGGTCTCTCAAACAGGGGGGCTGCTAGTCTGTCTTAGCATTAGCTGCGGATTTACTTTTACCCAAGGGTAGTTAGATAGCTCTCCTCAGCCACCCACCATTGAGAAGCCTTTGACACCTTCCATGTAAGGGGATTTTCAGGGATAGATATGGAGGAGTTTGCTCTACATCTATGCATGTAGAGCAAACATCTTTGCTCCCATCTACTAAGGGAGTTCCCGATGAACTGTTCTGAACAGTTCATCTCTCCTTTCATCTCCTAAGTATGCAAAGGAAGCAGAGGTGGTTATTGCCTCCGTCTTTATGTAAAAATCAGCCTGGCTATGAAGCAAAAAGGTTAGCCTTCTGCTCTTGCAGTTCTTCCAGTGTTACCCCGGTGCAGAACACATACAATTTTTACACTGATTCCAGTAGAGAAACACTTGGAAATACTGCAGTGTCACGTGTTTGCAATGCTGTTGTCACACAGGTTCTCCCCCTGCCCCCCCCCTTTTTTTTTAAGAGGGGGAAGTGCATTTGAGGGTTGATGATGGCACAGCAGAATTCCTACGAATTGAAATATTAGGTCGCTGCCAGAATGTAGTCAGTTACTTTTAAAAAATGTGCTAATCACAAGTCTTCGAGGGCATATGCAAAACTAAATAATTAACCAAATCATTTGCAAATTGGCTCAGTGTCAATAAAATATGTTAGCTGTCAGCTCTATAGCATAACTCCACACATATGCCCTCTTCATTTGAAAAAAGAGAGTATATTCTTACAGTTTACTCCAAAGATCATATAAAGTGTGGCAAAGAGGATGGAAAATCCCTTCTGAAATAACAATTACCAAAAAATCACAAAGAAAAGAAATTACCCCCAAATTGGCTGGAATCAATTTCTTGTAGGGCTCTATAACATAAAACCAACAATTTTAAAGTCATCTAGAAATCAGTTGGTAGCTAGTATTGTTTAATATGTGGGTCATTGTGTTATGCATTCACTGTATTTTCTGGATCATTTTTTAAAGTAGCCCCAGCTTGTGCTCATTACAAGCTCATGCCTTCAGCTAACATATACAATAGCATAAAGGCCACTGAGGAGGACACAAGAGGAAACAGTTAAAGCATTCCTGGTAAGCACTGTTACAAACATCAAGAAAACCCTTGGGTTGTGAAAAAGAAAATAATATATCTTTCCATTTAAGTAGTACCGGCCTTTGAACTTTGAACGTGTCTGCCAGGCTGGTTCCCAGGAGTCTGACAGCAGGTAGGTTTCAGGAGAGGCTGTAGAAGACAATCTTCTTCATACTGCCTTGATCCAGGAAAGGTGAATTTATATGTGCAAATTTCTTTTTCAATTATCCCAGTGTATTTAGTCCTTATTCACATGTACGAGGGAAGTGGAGGGTGTTAATACACTTTCCTCTTCCTTCCTTTTACACAGACGCTCAGCGATCAGCCTCTGTCCTCCTCTGCGTGCCAGAACAGCTGGGTGGTCTGGAGAAGATCTAAAGGCTTCAGCCTGGCTTCTGAGCAGCTGTGGGCAGGGGAGAGGGACAGGAGGGTTATCCAGGATGGTCTTCTGGAAGTGAGACTGAATTTCCCTGCCCTGAAGATACCATCTTCTCTGAATTTTTTTGACTAGGGTGCTAGGAGAAATACACAGTCCTAACTTGAGTACAGAGCCTGATGCTCTTATTGTGCTCCATTTTGAGTACAAATACCAGTGATTCAGAGTGCTGTGCTGCTCAGCCTGGAAATCAGGACCTCGTGTTCAATGATAATTAAATGCAGGCTTTTCCTCTTTCGTATATATCTTAACTTTACAACTTTTGTTTCTCAGGAAAACGGAATGTCTTTGTCTCTCCTAGCTTCATGTAATGTATTTCTGCATTTTTTTGGTTGTTTTAAATATCAAATGCATTTTAAAAGACTTCTATTTAGATGTTTTGTGATTTTGGGGGGGATTTTGTAAATAGTAAACTGTTTTTAAACAACCTGTATATTCTATATATAGCCATTATATAAGCCATTATATCACATTCATAAGAAAGACTAAAAATAATTAGATCTTACATTTATAATCATATTCTTAATATACTTATGTAGTGATTTTTAATCTTCTCATTTTTAGAGCTGAGGACTACAAATGTATTTTTTCTTAACGTAGTCAAGGGAGGATTTGGATACAAGCTGTGAAAATAAGGACTTACAACAGCGAGAAATAGCTGCTTTCTTTGTAAGTATTGATTGGGTAGATGGGAACTAAAACATTATGGAAACAGTCACATTTTTCAAACTACTATTCAAATTATTCGTATTGTCAACATCAAAACTGTTCGTGTTTTGGCTGGTGATTTAGCTATATGTGGCAGAAAGGCATAGAAAGAAAACGTATAGCAGACTGTTAACATTTTCACTGCTCATTAAAGATTTCAAGAATAAAAAAAGCCCTAAAAATATAACCAGTTACCCTTTACTCCTAAAATGACCAAATGTGGGAGAAAATGTTCCCACAATGGAAGCGGCTCTTACACGCTGAATAGCAGCTGCTAAGGGCATATCTGGACAACTTTTGTGCAAACGCTGCACTGAACAAAATGTGGAATTTAAGCTGTGGTTAAGTGCAGATAAAGGTCAGAGGTCACGATCTCCCGAAACCATCATTTGCAATATTTCTGACTTCCTTTATGCAGAGGAGGAATGTGCACTGCCAGAAGTAGAGGAATCGGGGCAACATAAGGTTTTCTTGGCAACCATTAGATATTTACTGCTGCTAACAAAGACCAGCATACAAACGCGTTTGAAATTCGGGCACAGACAACTGCTGGAAAAGACTCACAGCGTGGCGTTTGTCTTGCATCAGCTGGCTGTTAGGAAAAGCGTATAATCAGTCATTTTTATGTAGGAAGTTTATCTTTTGTTACTGGAGCTGCTTTTGCTAACAGTTCGTTCTCCGAATGTGTAAACTACCTTTTTAGTTATAATCATTTACCAATGTGAATAACTACAGAAAAGATGGTTCATGCATAGTAAGAGGCCTGCCCCGTTTGCTTCTATCGTAAAATGTGTGTAAACGTTCTTGCCCACATTGGTGGGGAAACGGAGTAGCGCCTACCGCAGCATATTTTTCATCTCATCTATTAAAAAAATGAACGTATGCATTATGTTTTGCATGGGGTGCTTTTTAGTTTATTTTGTTCATCTATCCTGTAATGAATCACGGAAATGTGCTCTGGATTTGGCCTGTGCAGCTGTCACAGACATCCTGTCGTTCTCTTCACGTTCTAATAAAAACTGACACGGCAGGTCGTATTTGATAGTGCAACGATTGCTGATACGTTGGGACTGGTCCTGCAAACTTCACTCAAATGGATGGATGCTGCTGACGCCCTCTAAATTACAGCCTGTGACATTCATAGTTAGAGCTCCAGCTTGATTATTGAGCAGTTGCCTTTATGTGCTGCGAGGATCGCTCACAAACCTTAAAGGTTAGCATACTCATGACCTTTTGTGATGCTAGAGATAAGTTTAGCAACATATAAAAATAGCGTCAATACAAACATCCTGGCTTTGCCAGCAACGTGTACATAAGTTCGCAATAGGAACTTGAGCTTGCACACCAGTGTCACATTTTAAAAAGGTATTTTATCATTTATTTAACTATACTTGTTTTGTCTTGAAACAATTTTGAGATAGCTGCTTTAACTGACTTGGAAATGTAGCCTTTTTTTTCCCCTCACTGCTTACTTGGAGATCTTGCTGCCTTACAGAACAAAAAAAGTAATTTTTTTAATCTTGAAAAGCCTGAGAAGTCTACAGTTGGGTTGCTTGCGTACTGGCTTTCTTTTGTCCAGTGAGACTTGTGCAAAATTAGAAAACACTTTAGTTTTTCAAATGTGCATAGTCATAATGTTTATGTATAAAAGCGCCAAAGCTCAGTTCTATCTAACGTGTGTGCGATTAACAAAAATATAGCTGATGATTCTGAACTCTCTTGAATGTTTTCAAAGAAGCATTTATCCAAAGAAAGTCAAACTGCATAGGATTAAGTCATGATTGTGATGATGATTTAAATCCATTCTTTTAAAGGAAAAATGTGCATAGAAAGAATGGTATGTATGTACAGGCATGCATGGACGCACTTGCAAACATTTATGCTTATATTTCTTACCTGTAGAGCACAGAGTAAATGCATTATTTAGTACATAAGGCCAATTACATTTAATAGTAGCAAAATTAACATAATTTATTTGGGGTTTCAGGGAAGACATTCCTCATTTAAGCTGTTTCTGCACAAATGTGGTTTAGTACAAGGAGAGTCGATTATACCCTCTTTTCTCATCGACATTATGGCAAGTTAGTATTCCGTTTCACGTTTTCCTTTGGAGGAAGCTCCCCGCGTCTGCACCATAATGGGTTTCGACATGAATCAATATCGGCAAAAAGAAAGATCAGTCTAATACTTCAGAAGTTCAATTTTATGCCAGTGGAGCTTTTCTGGTTTCAATGCAACTATACAAGAAAAGAATTACAGAATGTAAAACTGCTTTAGCAAATCAGAAATTCACTCCCCTGTGCTGAATTTTCCGTTGAGGACAGTCTCAAGATTGGGTGGGTGAGCAATGAATGCTGTCAACATACTTTTGCCTCGGAACAAGTTGGAGGAGCCGTTCACAGTAGCCGGTGTGGTTCAGCTGGTTTACCAGCTCTCATTTTTACCTGACGTGACGCTCATAGTTCACAGCATCATTCTCCCAGATATTAAACCTCGCTTCTGGATCATGCCCTCTCTGGGATTAACTTCTGCCCGCATCAAGATCTCCTTGAAATGTCTGTGACCGAAGAACTAACAAAATTAATATTTATACTGAATGCTCAATATGGTCAGAACTGGTATTCAGAAGGTAAGGGTTTCACCTTGGGCTTAACCTTGGAAAATCCTTTGACAACCTAGACTTGAGTTTCATTACTGATATACAGCGAGAAGTGTTCCTATTTGTTGTGTGAAAATTCACAATCTATTTCCTTAAGCACAGCCCCGTTCTGTGATCATTTTCTTACGTGGTTTTAGTGTTTTTTCCCCCCCTCAATTTTGTCTTTCAGCATATGTAACCCCTCTGCACGCTGTGAATCACAGTTTGTTTCATTAGTGAGAGGAGACTACAGCCTGCTCCTCTTAACAGCTTTGAGACTGAATATAAAAGTAATCTTAAAAAGTGAAGACTCTTCACTAGTGAAATTTCTTGCAGCACTAATGTGAATTTACAATGAGCTAATTCCAAGGCCTGTCTTACTTTGCTAAATATTTATGCATTAAGAACAAGAATTTAAAAAGTTTTTTGCACCTTTCTAGAGCAAAGAGACTTAAGAGCAAAAACAATATGGCTGCCTAGGAGAAAATATTATCAAGAGCCAAGTTTTTGTTTGGTCAATACGTATTTACATTTTGAATCTAAAAAACAGGAAACCCCCCAAAAGTTTTGGCCCAGTTTGTGCAAACATACCATGGATCGGAAATTTGCTATTTCTGTAGAACAGATTTTTCTTCCTATTTAATAGCACTGTGATAATATTACCTTTCCATTGTCAAACATAGAAAATGCAGTGTATCCAGCTGATTACTTACCATCAGCTGAGGAGAAAGCTAATTCATGAGTATCATTGCATTTAACCTGCTTACTCCCCTTTCTGAGATCACTTGTTGCTGCACAGGTTCCCATAAGATTTTGAAAGAGCCAAGGCAAATCTTAGCACTGAATGAATGGATGGATGACTTTCTACAGCAATTTGTAGTCAGAACGTGTTGAATATTCATTTGGACTTGGCTCCTGGTTATGCTATGAGCAAAACAAGTATCTGGGGGGGGGGGTAATCACAGTTCACCAAAACGTCTGCACAACATAGTATAAACGCATTTGCTCATGCCCAGCCCTAAAATTCACCTGAGTGGCTGAAAATGTTTTTCCAAGACTTTCATTTCTCAACCTGTCTGGCAGAGAGCTCATGCTTTCCAACATGAAGAACTGAGTTGTATCCGATCACCAAAGGTCTGCCTCTCTTATGTGTATATGATCTTACATGTATGAGAGCAGAAAAGTCAGCTGTTTTGGTTGATCATTTTCTTGTGATGTTCATACTAGTTGGGCAAAGTAAGTATTACAAAAAAAAAAAAAAAGGATGCCATTTCTATGTGGTAGGATATTCCTTTACCATTTGCTGATGTAAAGGATTGCAGGAGGTCTAAGACAATAGAGAAAATGCATACGACTAGGAGCAGCGTGCAGCAAGGAGGTGTTTTAGTTGGTTTGTTATGCTGTCGCTGAAAGCGGCAAAGGCCGATGCCTCAAAGCGCAACCGAATGGAAACAACAGGCTGTTACCAGGGTTCTTACAATTACATGCTGACCCGTTGGTGACACTGGTGCACTGTGTTCCTCGTCAGACGTAAGCAGTGGCACCAGCGATCCGAAGTAAGAGCTGTGGGAACGAGAATGAGCGAGTTCGATGGCTACGTGAAGTGAGAGCGACGGTCCCTTTGGCACTGCAACCTACAGCCCCTTCTGCCGTTTCTCAAGGCTGCAGCTGTGCTGCTGGGCTGCACGCTGGGAGTGGGGGATGTACCAAATACCCAGTCAGGCTTTAGCCACAGGAACAAACTCCTGGAGCGAACCGAGCTCCTGCTTGTCTGCTGAGCCATGCGCACCATAGCAGAGGGCACGCTCTTGGACCATGACAAATATTAGGTGATATTTCCTAATTTAAGCCTCTTCCTTTCAAACTAAGCCAAATTGATCAACCTCACTTTTGCTATGGGCAAGCAGCGCTTGCAGGTAGTTAGTACAGCTCCGCTGATAAGCAGTTAAATTGCAGTAATTGGAGCTTCCATCTTCTTCCAGATATCTTCAGGGTGCAGCTACCACAAACTGCTCTGCACGAGGGTTGGCACAGTCCTCTCCTCCCGCGCGGCCCCAGGCCTGCTCAAAGGCACTCTGCAAACTCGCGACGAGCTGCTTCACGGATCTGCTCTGGCCATAAACTTTTTACTAATTACTAATTAGTGTGTTAGCTTTCCATCCTTAGGACGGTTCCCTGGGCAGCTGAGCTCATCTAACAGCTTATGACTACCAAAGAGCAGTCTCATTCCCCTTCCCCTCTGCCCTCCCTTGCTGCTCCGCTAATCCATATTCACAGGTCACCCCCTTCCCTCATGCTCGTTCTCCTTCTCTGTGATTCTTATGTAAGTGCATTAATATCACAAAACTGCTAAAACGATCTTTGTTTTGTATCACTTTAATTAAAGTCATAGCTCACCGTACAAGTTAAGGGCGAGAGGGAACAGCTTGGCCGGGGGGAGATGCGAGGTGAGTAGACTCTCCATTTTTTCCCTCTGTAGTTAGCCAGTAAATCAGCGCATGGACCTGATGGAAACAGAGCCTTAAACTCCTTTCTGTACTTGAGGCAATGATTCAAAGGGAACAGTGATTAACTATTGGACTTAATGATAAATGAGACAAAGCATCAACAAGGTTATAATGAAATGGATGTCTTAAAGTAACGATGCTGTATAATAAACTCAGCCCAAAGGTTTGTGTAAGGCCTTTGTGAATTCCTTTGAAAGGAAACCACAGCCGCTCGTGCTGGAGCACACGAGGTAAACAAGGAAAATAAATGCAAATATCCAGAGCTGAGAGACTAGGGAAACATGCAGTCTAGGCTAAATGGAGGAATACCAGCTCATGCTTGATTAGCGTTGTTTAAGTAATCAAAACCACAAACTATGTTATTGGATCTATGCAAGGAGTTAGGTGTATAATACAAGACTTTAAGAGAATTGAGCAATCTAAACCCAAGAGCACAGTCCTTAGAAGCTCTGCCTACCCCCAGGGCGGCTGCACCAGTTTTCGCCTTCAGGGCTCCCTCTGCGCCCCGAGGTCAGCTTCTGCCGGTACCCGCAGCCGTCACCCTCTCGCAGGGGCTGAGCACCTCCGGGACCTTCTCACATCGAAGACCGTAGATTTGCGGAGACTTAAAACGGTCCCTCTTCGCTCCTAGGCGCTCTGTCCGGTCAGCACCGATAGACACGTGCTCTTTGAATTCGGCGCAAAGAGCAGCAGCCGCAGACAACATAAACATGGTGGTGACTGTAGCAGGTCATGAATCTTTCTGTGGTCAGCTGATCCCTTGCCTAGGAAGAGTGAAAGTCAAGTTCAGCGTCCTCTGGGGGATGCTGCCTCACATCTTTCTGACGTGTCCTCGCGTCAGACCACGGGCAAGGCTGGGTCTCACTGAGAGCGAGCAGGGTGGGTCCTTTCACTGGAAGCTGTTATGCAGAAAAAGGTTAAGAATAATTAAGTGTTCATGAGACCAGAATAGAAGATAATCTCCTTTAGAACTTCAATTTACTACTAATAATCAGACTATGCACATATACATAATTGGTTCAGTTTTCATAGAGAAAAGAATTATTCTTATGGGTGAACAGATAACTTACATATGGATTTTCACATCCAACACATTATTAAAAAAATAAGGATCTATTTGGAATATTAATGAGGGTAAATCTATTTATGAACGCCTCATCCAAAATCCACGGAGGCAAATTATTTCTTACAAAAAACATGTTTTTCTCTTGCTGTTTTATTTTTTCTTTCCCTTTTTGAGAAATATACTTTTTGTGTTACGTAAATTTCTCATTCCTTATTGAAACTTCATATGTGGTCCAAGGCCATGCGGTCAATGCCTTGGTGAGATTTTTTTTGTATTTATTATCTGCAGCATTAAGTGCACATAAGCTGTAATGCTAAATTAGATCCTTTTGTGATAGTTGCTGTTCTAACGCAGAACAAAAATAGATGTTCTCAACCCCAATGGCATATGAAGTAAGTAGACAGGAAATAAGTGGGTACAGACAGGACACTAGACACTGAGAGCGTATTGCTCACTCTGATAGACAGCGGTCTCAGCAAAAGGTCGTCATGTATTTGAAGACTGAGTCGTAATCCATATGTACAGGAGAGCAGCGTTAAGATATTTTGCGCACCTTTAATTTTTCCTTCTTTCTGACTTTAAGCACGTAAGTTTTTAAATGCAAGGTTCTCTTAATCTCTTAATTGTCCTGGGAAATAAATTGCTTAGGTGTGGTGGCAACTGAGCAGATGATGGCGCTCTTTCCTCCGAGTCGCCCTTGAACAAGTGTCCTGCATTGCAGCGGGGGCCAGCGTGCTTCTAGAGCTGTTAAGCTGTTAGTTTCGCAACAAGTTCACATGTAAAATCAAGGTCCTGAGCGTTTTTAGTTACGTATACTAGGCCATTATTTGCAAGAACTGAAATGTTGGTACTTTTACACTACTTACACCTTCATTGGGGAAGCATAAACCTCTGATTTACTTTTTGCAACTTTAGATTTAACAACACTCCTTACTTCTTGCTTTAAACAATATGTAATGTTGCCATATGTTGTCAAATACATGCTGAGTTCAACTCCACAAATGGTTACATTTAGCGCAGAAGGACAGAGTACCTATACCCGGTTTGCATCTTGGCCTGTTATGCTGCAATTATAACAAAATTTGACTCTTCAGGATAAAAATTGCTAAATATCTGTAAAATAATTATTGCTGCAATAGAGATAGTTCACCGCAAAGCCTGGGTAAAATGCATGTACTGCATGATTTGAAACCCGGATTGAATGTCTCATGTACAAAAATGAGAAGGTTACAGCCAGAAACAGACCAGAGAGAGTCCTGCACCCGCAGGCTTTCCCCACCACGAATCCGTCCAGGCGGCGTTAGGCTTTACGACCGCTAGGTGGGGATGCAAACAGCATCATATTTGTGTTATTTCTTAGGTTTTACTGAAACTATACACTGCCAAAAGCTAATCTGCAGGAGAGAAAGAAAACAAGAGTATATTAATAAAACAATAATAAATTCACAGTAATTTATTCACCTTAAAATACTGATTCCTCTATGTGAGTAGAAAAAGCAGTTACTAATCAAAGCATACTCCATGCTCAGTGAGCCTACCGCAAAAGCACTCAGTAACATTCATTGTCTTCTCCTTTGCATCTCAGTATCCATTTCCTCACCGCTATAAGGTGTCCCCCCCCCCCCCCGGCGGTGGAC